TTATTATTGTTTTAATAAATTTAATTAATAAAATTAATAAAATTATAAATTGTTTATTATTATTTTACATATTATTTTTTTTATTAAAAATTAAAAATAATTGAAAAAATCGAATTAAATTATTTAACGAAATTGATTTAATCAATTTATTCAATTTCGTTAAAACTCAAAGTATACAAGGAGGCTCCTAAAGCCGGCCCCCCTCCCCCACCCACCTCCTGGGAACAGAGATTACTTAAATGTAAGATTGTGTAAAATGGTGAGTATATACCACGTCATTTTTAAGATATTAATAATAAAAGTTAATATAATAGAATTAAGTGATATAAAGTCAAAATAAATAAGTTATTAATTAATAATATGAAAATAGAGATATTTGTAATTGTAGAAATTTATTCATTTTTTTAAGTAAGAAAAAATTTGGCTATCATTTTGTACAGCCATGAGAGGGACCCCTTAATGTTCTATAAATAAAACACAATTTAATGATAGAATAATTTAAATATAATATTAAATTATTAAATAATTAATACAAAAAGATATTTATTAAAATTTTTAATTAATATTTAGTATTTTATTGTTCATATTTATTACATATACTTAATTTATATTAATTGATAATTTGAATAACAATCAATTATAAATATTAGTTAATAAATAATAATATTAATTGTATAATTATTATTGTAATAATTTTTTAATGAAAAATTATTTTGAAATAGGAGTGAAAGAAAATAAACCTTAATTTTGTACAGCCATGATAAGGACCCCAAGTGTTCTATAAATAGAATTTAATAAGATAAATAATTAAAATGACAATTTAAGCAATCAAATATTTCCAATAAAAAAAGTTAAGGAGTTGCTTTATGCAAGGAAATTTTCACATTTTAAAGAGTTCTACAATAAAGCTAATTTGTTTGTTGTTATGTTGTAAATGCTTCAAAACTCAAGATAGTTATAAATTTGATTTTATATTTGATTAATGAGTGTACAAATAAGATATAAAATTATACTGAAAAATCCATTAAAGAACAAATTGGTGAACTCAAAGTGTTTTTGATATGGCAGAAGCTATTAAAAATACTCAACCAAAGCTCAAAAAACAAAAAGTTAATGTTTGATCAAGTACAATTGATTGTGTTGGATCACTTTGTTGGCAACTCGATTGATAATGATGTTTCCAAAAATTCCTTTATGTATTTTCATTGATAAATTATAATGAAACCAATTTAAGTATTAAAGTTAGTTATTTAAAATAAATTTGAAAAAAAACAAAATACCGAAACATCAGAACATGTATCCTCAACAAACTATTACTTTAAAAACTTGTATATTCAAATGAGTGATTATAAATCTTTAAATAAATCTTTCAAGGAGATATTAATAAGGAGAATAAAACTTATATTGCAAAAAATGTAATTTGTTTTATTACGAAACAAACAACAGATCTTATATTATTATTATTATTATTATTATTATTATTATTATTATTATTATTATTATTATTATTATTATTATTATTATTATTATTATTATTATTATTATTATTATTATTATTATTATTATTATTATTATTATTATTATTATTATTATTATTATTATTATTATTATTATTATTATTATTATTATTATTATTATTATTATTATTATTATTAGTAGTAGTAGTAGTAGTAGTAGTAGTAGTAGTAGTAGTAGTAGTAGTAGTAGTAGTAGTAGTAATACAATAAGACAAACAAAACATTTTTGTTGACAAAGTTGAGCTTATATGTTTTGAAAAGTAATCCAAATAATATATAACAAAGTTGGCAATACAAAGTAGACTTTTGGAAAATTCTTTAACTTTGTTATTTAAGTTGTTGTGAACTAGTCTATATTGGCGAGATAATTACAAACCTTCCCAAACACCTTTAGATGGCTTACGGTTTCATTTGATACATGAAGTTTGAAGTAGTTTATGTATTCATTTCTCTTTGTATTTTAAAAGAATATTCTATAATATCCACACACTTACAAATGTCAATTAACATGTTCTTATTTAACAAATCTTTGTGTGTATTTAGTTAAAGTCGTCTGCTTACCATGTTATAATATATATTGACTTTCATTGGCAATTAGCATCTAAGAGTATTTTTCTATATGAGTAAAATATAATTCAAGTGACATAGTCAGATCCATATGAACTTATTAAAACATCATTGTTCTTCACTAACAACATTGGAGAGGATTCTGGGCATTTGGTTAATCAATCACTTTTACTTGGAATTGAATTGATCCGAGTTGCCGTTTTATGGCACAAGTCTTATCATTAGAAGAGGAAACAGAGTTTTGTATTAACCACAACTTCGACTTGATGTTATTGGTATCACGACCACCTTAAGAACATTTTGAAAAAAGTCTTGGAACAGAATGATAAGTTCCCTTCTATTGTATAAAAATAATTAAAATGAGTACTATTTTCTTTGCGCTTTTAAACGAAGAATGAGATGGTGATAAACAATGAAATTGTGATCAAAGATGCAAAAGAAATAAAATTTAAAATCTTCAAACAAAGTAATCAATTCAGTTTCCATCTTAGAGTTTCTACCATTTTCCATTATAACAATGGAATTATGATATTCAAAAGTTGTAGTACACAAGACGTACAAAGCAGAATACATAAACAGCATTACACAATTTGAAAAATTTTACATGGTCTTCAACATCATCACTTCAAAACAACGTCCACACAAGTTTACAATTTTCAGGTCAAGTAAAGTAAAGTACATATTATGTTTCAAATGCACTAAGATTTGAAACAATACAAAAAGTTGTATTTTTTGACTTGTTGACGTTTAGTTAGTCATCAAATTTGTGGGCACCAACACACCATTTGGATATTCCATGTTATCGAGGTATTCCATTGAGATCAATGAAAGTTTTGATACAATACAATTGTCCGACACACAACATTTGTCAATTAATGAGTGTGGAGAGATTTGAATAACAATGTTACAATTTAAAATGGCATTTTATTTTGATGATAGAATGGACTTACAGATAGTCGAAATATTAGAAATATTTTAAGAGTTTTTTGAAATGAATTTGGTAATCATTTTGAGGCTCGAGAATGTTTCTTCAAGTGTGTAGATTAAACTAAAAACAAATTTCAGACAAATTGTTTCGCTAATGGTTGAAAACATTTTGGAAGTTGAATACTGATATTCACAAAGTCTAATGTAACAATAATTAACATGTTGTTGTTTTTGGTATTAAATATCTCGAATATTTTGGAGTATTAGCATAACTTGTAAAGTTCCCCAAATGAAAATAATTTAGTTTGATAACGAATGTGATGTATTCAATAAAATGAAAAAACATTAATAATTTAATGTGAGTGTGTTATAGAAGACTTACAAATAAACTCCACATTATACAGTGTTAACTTTGTGTATAATTTATTTTTAATTGGAATAGCTTTGATATTTTAAATTGTATTTCTATTTTTTATTAAAGTATTTTTAGTAATTTAAATAAATTTAAATTAATAAATATAGTTTTCATTAATAATTATTCTAAATATTAATATTGTTTTTTCATATACTAACACCACTTTTTAATCGTAGTCCTAATTTAACCCATTTTTAAAGTTTTCATACAACACCAACACAATATTAAGAATGTGTTATTAGCGAAGAAACAAATTGATTTGAATACTGCCCAATGAAATAAAGAGTTTGGCGATAAATAAGAATGGGCACTTGGAAAATATGGCAAACATGTCAAGTGGTATTTTGAATAAAAAACAAGAAAACACTTCAATTTCAATATATATTTTTCTGATTGATATAACATTAAAATGGTTTATTTATTATAAATTTATAATTTTTTAAACCATACTATAAAACCAAATTACCAATCTTGTTTAATCAAATTGATTTTGTTTATTCGCTCTGTTGTGTCTTATTCATTGCCATAATTGTCTCGGCCAAAGAATATATCGACGTATTTACCGTCTTTTAGCTAGTTTCACAAAAATTACAAATTTAATGTATCGCTTGTATCATTCTGTTGGTGTTTGAATGCAACAAATTATTTACTTTTTTAGCAAAGGATTTAAAGAGAGTTTTATCCGATTATCTAAATAAATTAATATGTTTGTGTTTTATTATTATTGTTGCACAAAAACAAATATTTTATTGTTTTATAAAAATCTTTCTAACAAAAGTTTTGTTTGTTTTGTAATAATAAATCAGTCGGGTCTATATATTCGTTTTTTAAATATATTTTTGATTAATAAAACATTTTTGTGTTGTTTGTATGTACGTATAGAATAAACATATAGTTGTTTTTGTCATTTAATTTAAAATGTTTTGAATTATATTTAATTGTTTTATTATTATATAAATTCAAAGGTTTAAACTCTCCGTTGTTAATATCTGAAATTATAATTTTTACTCGTAAAATTTCTTTTTCATTAATTATCATTTTTGAAAAGTTTGTAGAATAGGTCAGACAATATAATTGGTAATTTTTGCCATAATAATTTTTTGTCTTAGTCATGCCTCAAAAAAATACTTTAAAAAAACTGAAGAGGCTGTTTTTGCGGCAAAAAATCATTTTTGGTAAAGCCATTTTTAAAAATACGCAAATAGACGGGACATTAGGTTTTATAGAATTGTGATTCCAGAAAATTCAATAATTTTTATCAAATTGTTTTTGATAAATTAACAATTTGTAAATATTTATCCATTTTTTATGTTTTATTAGCACAATAATAACAGAATTTAAATTAACAAAAAGATAAAATTAACATTTAAATATTATTAACATATTTTCTATTATTATTAACACACAAAAATACAATTAATTAACAAAAAAACAATTATCATTTTAAAATATTTAAGATTTTTCTTGTCAAATTAACAGACTCATAATTGAATTTATTTTACAAAAAAATAATTAACATAATATAATTATTTATTGAATATTCTTGCAAAATTAACACAGCGAAATTTTACATATTATCCAAAGACAATTTAATTTAACATTTTAATATTATTAACAATTTTTACATTTCAAATTAACACATAATAATGTAAATAATTAATTATAATTATTGAAAATGTTTATTATTCAATGATTTAAATTGTACAATATGTGTTTGTTTTAACAGAAAGGTTACCAATTCGATGGAGTGACTAATTTAAAATCACAATAAAACAGACATAATTTAACAATTAAACAATAATGTTCTTATTGAATACTTATCATAAAAT